AGTTTTAGAGTGCTAAGAGAAGAAAGAGTGGGTGGAGGCTTGTACTAGGGGTGTAGAAGGTATAGAATCTAATTATCAATTACTGACTTGGTTATCTTTTCCCATTCTTCTGGAATGGCTTACCACCAGGTTGCCACCAATAACATTCCATATGAAAAAAGAAAGGAAACAAAAAGCTAACAAAAAACTACCCCCTCAGTCTCATTGCATTGGACATTTTCTCTTGCTTCCAGTCCTGTTGACTGGATCTGAGTCATCCAAATTACCAGATGCAGGAAGGGGTAAACAGAGAAACAAGAAGTGAAGAAGACAGGCTGATATTTACAGTCAAGATGAGCCCCTAACTCAAATAGTAATGAACAAGACTGATAATTAATGTGCTGCTCTTGAGTCCTACTTTGTTCAAAGCTGTGTTCCTATTAATCCATTCCCTCTCAGCTTTAAAATCACCCTCATATACTTTGTTTTGTGACATTGGGGCTGGGCACCTGCAAATGACATTTCCCAAACTCCTTTGCCCACTGGCTTCCTCTTGTGTTCTGTCAGTAAGAGGAACCAGAAAGAGACTAGAAAGCAAGAGGAGAGAAGCAAGGGCTACTTTCTAAATTTTGTTCTTCCTGTCAGGTCACTCCAACAATGGCAGTTGAGTCCCATCTCTATGCAGTTGAGTCCCATCTCTATTTGTTCTCTTCATGCATTCCAGAATGTCTCACTGTCCCTTACATAAATAAGTACTAGTCCAGCTGCAGCACGTCCTCTTTAGCACTCCAGGGTGCCTTTCCTCAGTGGTCTCAACCTCTTCCTTTTCGTTCTTCCAGCCCCACAAGGTGGTAGCTACTTCCCAGTAGTTGTTACCTCTGAGTTACTATGTTGTGCCTAGATGAAATACCTAGTCTTATGCTCCGTTGCCCAGGCTAGAGTGCAGTGGCATGATCTTGGCTCACTGCAACCTCTGCCTCCTGGGTTCAAGCGATTCTCCTGCCTTAGCGTCCCAAATAGCTGGAATTACAGGCGCCCACCGTGACCACGTCCAGCTAATTTTTGTATTTTTACCAGAGGCAGGGTTTCACCTTGTTGGTCAGGCTGGTCTTGAACTCCTGACCTCGAATGATCCGCCCTCTTCCGCCTTCCAAAGTGCTGGGATTACAGACGTGAGCCACCGCGCCAGGCCTTATTTCTTAACTAGACCTGAACAATACATAGTGGGTGCAGGGATAGCACTCCATACAACGGAAAAAGCTTCTGCTCTCATGGAGTTTACATTTTAGTGGGGAATGATAAAGAATAAACTCAACCAGATATATAAAATGTGAGGTAGTGATACATGCCATGAAGAAAAAGAGCAAGAGAATGGAGAACAAAGGGGACGAGACTGCTTTATAATAAAGGGTGACCAAGGAGGCCTTCCTGATAAGGAGGCATCTGAACAGAGACTTGAAGGAAGTGAGTGAATGAGCTGTGAGGCTATCAGGGAAAAGAGAATTTCAGGCCGAGGGAACAGTAATTACAAAAGGCTTGGCCGGAATGCCATTGGCATGTTCAAGGAACGAGGGAGGAGAATAGTGCGGCTGAAGATCAGTAAACAAGGGAGAACTTGATGGGAGATGAGGGGGTTAGATACGCATAGACCCTACATGATGCACATAGATCATGAAGGGTCTCAGAGGTCACGATCATGTTCAGAGAGGGAATTCACTGCATAGGGCAGAGAAAAGATAACAGTGAACTAAGTTGTGGAGGTCAGCCAGACCTTGAGAATATTCTGATTCAGTGAGTCTGTGAGATAGAATCTGTGAAACTCTTTTTTTTTTTTTCTCTCTCAGATGGAGTTTCGCTCTTGTTGCCCAGGCTGGAGTGCAATGGCACGATCTTGGCTCACTGCAACCTCCACCTCGTGGTTCAAGTGATTCTCCTGCCTCAGCCTCCCGAGTAGCTGGGATTACAGGCATGCGCCACCAAGTCCAGCTAATTTTGTATTTTTAGTAGAGTTGGGGTTTCTCCATGTTGGTCAAGCTGGTCTCGATCTCCGGACCTCAGATGATCCGCACACCTGGGCCTCCCAAAGTGCTGGGATTACAGGTGTGAGCCACTGCAACCGGCCTGAATCTGGATTTTTAACAGTGACTTCAGGAGATTTGAATGCCATCAGTGTGGCAACATTTTGGAAGCCCCCGTCAAGGACTTACTCAGCCTGTATTCATTTATCCCATGTTGACTGTCTCTGGAGAGATTACTTCCTCCCAAAATTCTCCTCGTTATTATTTGGTCATCCGGGTCTTGCTTACTGGTTAAAACTAGCAGCAGTTGCCTCAGGTTTTCACAAGGCTTATCAGAGCAGAATAAATGCTCTATGCTTCCCAGGGAACTCTCAAAAGCTACAAGGTGCCGTTTCCTATTCCGGTTTATTTCTAATTTTTCTTTTCTTTTTTTTTTTTTTTGAGATGAAGTCTTGCTCTGTCACCCAGGCTGGAGTGCAGTGGTGTGATCTCGGCTCACTGCAACCTCTGCCTCCCAGGTTCAAGTGATTCTCTTGCCTCAGTCTCCTGAAGTAGGTGGGACTACAGTCATGCGCCACCACACTTGGCTAATTTTTGTACTTGTAGTAGAGACGGACGGAGTTTCATCGTGTTGGCCAGGCTGGTCTGGAACTCCTGACCACAAGTGATTCGCCCACCTCTGCCTCCCAAAATGCTGGGATTACAGGTGGGAGCCACTGGCCTTGCCCTGTTTTGCTTTATTATTGCCTTTCCCTGTAAAGAGCTTCTTTTGGTAAATAAGCAGCTGAGACATCTTGACATCTCCTGCCCTCCAGGTTCCCAGGGGCAGTCTGGGCCCAAATTTTCTTTCTTCTAGCTGTTCCCCAGTTTCTCTGCACCATTCCTCCCCACTGCCACATAGTCGCTAAGGCATGTCTGGATGGCCTTCTTCTGCACAATGGCCTAATTTATGTTTTTGCATCATCTCTTCCTTCACTCTGACTCATTCTTTACATAAAGCCAGTGTACTCTTAAAAGTAATCTCATCATGTCGTTCCTTCCTGCTTAGAATTCCCAGTGGCTTCACATTGCTGCTAGGGTGCAGTCAGCTCTCTGTACTACTAGCCATAACCTCTGAGCCTGTGAGTCACTGGTCTGTCCCTGCCTTCCTGTCCACCTCAGCCCCTACCCTCATCAACACTCTCTTGAGCTGTCTGTACACAAGCTGCTCAGGACTTCTCTCAGGTGTCTGAAAGTGCTCTGCTCTTTGATCTTCTTGGAATGCTGGAGTCACATTTTTGTCCAACTAGGCCTTTAGTTTTCAGTTTAAACATCACTTCCTGGGAGAAGTCTTCTCTAATCTCCTGGAAGGGGTCATCTCCCTTTATAATCCATGCTTTTGAAGACAGGGGGCGGAGTGTGATTTACAGTGTGCATTATTTTGTCTCACCTTACTTTTCTTCCTCTGTGTTCTCTTTATCTTGATTTAAATCTATTAACATTTTTCACTTTATCTTATAGTATAGTTGTGTAGATAACCTTGAATCTGTTTTGCAATAGTAGCATAAATAAATGCCTGATCAGAAATGTACCACATGACAACCATTGTGCTAAACCTAGCCTTTGAGGAAGGGATTTCTATTGTGAGATTTAAGGAAGTGAAGTGGTTGAGAGATTAAGAAACTTGTCCAAAGTGGCACAACCAAAATGGTTAAATACAGTGTTTTAAATGATCTATTTTACAATAAGAAGATTAATAGTTGTGATAACACTTAATTTTCACGGAAATGTCAGCAGCAGTTTGCTTATATTATCTCAATGAATTTGCAAAGTTAAGTCATGAGATTATGCTTGTTTTTCTCAACATTTTGTAACCTAAACTTTTATTGAGAGCATTTATCACAATGGCTGTTTAAACAGAGTGTAATTTGTCCTTTAATTGCTGTATTTCCCTTTTAAAGTATGAACCCCCCAAGGGCTGAGGTAGTACCTCTGCACTGCAGTAAACCCAGGGCAACAGCTGAGCGCCTTGCTCAAAATAAGTTCTCAAAACCTATTTTTGTGCGCTTTTTGTGCCAGGTAGTTTTTTTTTTCCCGGAGTCTTACTGTGTCACCAGGTTGAAGTGCAAGTGGCGTGATTTCGGTTCCTTGCAACCTTCGCCTCCCGGGTTGAAGCGATTCCCTTGCCTCAGCCTCCCGAGTAGCTGGGACTACAGGCGTGCGCCACCACGCCCGGCTAATTTTTTGTATTTTAGTAGAGACGAGGTTTCACCATGTTGGCCAGGATGGTCTCGATCTCCTGACCTTGTGATCGCACGCCCCGGCCTCCCAAAGAGCTGGGATTACAGGCGTAAGCCACGGCGCCCGTGTGACAGGTATTCTTAAGGTCACAGGCGAGACTGGAGCATAACCTTTGAAGACTAAAGACCAGACCCGGCGATTACGTCTGTAGTTATACATTACTTTTACAAGTAATTGTTTGGATTACATTACACAAGGATGGGAGTTAATTTTTTCCATGAGCTGGGGACAAAAATAACTGTGAGCCATAT